AGTAGTGAGTAGTGAGTAGTGAGTGCTGAGTAGGGAGTAGGGAGTAGTGAGCAGTGAGTAGTAAGAAGTGGGTAGCGAATATTGGGTAGTGAGTAGCGATTGGTGAGTACTGGGTAGTGAGTAGTGACTAGTGACTAGTGAGTTGTGACTAGTGACTAGAGACTATGTAGTGACTAGTGAGTAGGGAGTAGTAAGTAGTGAGTAGTGAATAGTGAGTAGCGGGGAGTAAGTAGTTAGTATTGAGTAGCGAGTATGGGAGTAGCGAGTAGCGAGTACTGAGTACTGAGTAGTCAGTATTGTGTAGGGCGTAGGGAGTAGCGAGTAGCGAGTAGTGGGTAGTGAGTAGTGATTTGTGGGCAATGAGTAGGTAGAAGTGAGTATTGAGTAGCGAGTATGGGAGTAGCGAGTAGCGAGTACTGAGTACAGTCAGTAGTGTGTAGGGCGTAGGGAGTAGCGAGTAGCGAGTAGTGGGTAGTGAGTAGTGATTTGTGGGCAATGAGTAGGTAGTAGTGAGTAGTGAGTAGTGGATAGTGGGTAGTGGGTAATGAGTAGTGCTTATTGAGTAGTGAATAGGGAGTAGTGAGTAGTGCTTAGTGAGTATTGAGTATTGAGTAGTGGGTAGTGAGGAGTGAGTGAGTAGGGAGGAGGGAGTAGTGAGTAGGGAGTAGTCTGTAGCGAGTAGTGGGTAGTGAGTCGTGATTTGTGGGCAATGAGTAGTTAGTAGTGAGTAGTGAGTAGTGGACAGTGGGTGGTGGGTAATAAGTCGTGATTATTGAGGAGTGAATAGGGAGTAGTGAGTAGTGCTTAATGAGTAGTGAGTATTGAATAGTGGGTAGTGAGGACAGAGTAGTGAGTAGGGAGGAGGGAGTAGTGAGTAGGGAGTAGGGAGTAGCGAGTAGTGGGTGGTGGGTAGTGAGTAGTGGACAGTGAGTAGTGAGTCGTGAGTAGCGAATAGCGAGTAGTGAGTAGGGGGCAGTGAGTAGGGGGCTGGGGTTAGTGGTTACGGGGTAGGGGGCCCCTCGTGATTCCTCTTGGGGCTAGGGTTAGTGGTTAGGGTTCGGATTCGGGGTTTGGGTTCGGGTGAGGACTAGGGGTAGGGGTAGGGGTGGCGGGGGTCGGGTTCCGGCGTCAGGGGGCGGCGTGGCGAAGGGGGAGGGGCGGGGGGGGAGCGGACCCCCCCTCCCCTTTTGAAAGGGGGGGGGGGGGGGGGTCCCCGACGACGGGTCGTGGAAACGGGGGGAGGGGGGGGGGTTTTCCCGACGACGGATCGGGGAAGGGGGCGAGGGGGGGGGGGGTGCCCGACGACGGATCGGGGAAGGGGGGGGGGGGGAGGGGGGGTGGACCCCCCCCCCCCCTTGGGGAGCTCCAGCGGCGCACCCTCCCTATATGCCCATCGCCCTATGGCCCTATAACCCTATGGTCCGATAGACCTATAGCCCTATAACCCTACATACTCATAACCCTATAGCCTTGTAGCCCTCTAGTCCTATAGCCCCAGACCCCATAACACCATAACCCTATAGCCCTACAACCCTATAGCCCTATGGCCCTATAGCCCTATAGCCCTATAGACCTACAGCCTATAGCGCCATAGCCCCATCGCCCTATAGCGTCATAGCCCCATAGCCCTATAGCCCCAACAGGATTTTGATTGGGATTGCTATCCGGTATCATTGCGTAACATGCGTAGTGTTTGCGTGGACGTGTCGCAGATTTTGTGCACCATCAGCGGTGCCGCGACAAACTCTCACGTGTGACATGCCAAGCGACCTCAGGGCCTAGATTTGGAATGCTTTGTAAAGGCTGGGCGCCTGGCAATCCCCGCTGCCGCGGACTTAGTGCAAAGGGGGACCTTGGACCCCGAATTATAGTTTCTGCCAGTTTTTCTGCTCACAGCCCCCCTGCTAAACCCGTGCTCCATCCTTCTCTCTCCCCCCGACCAACCGTCCTCTCTTCCGCTGTTTTAGGGGCTGCACCACCGACGCGCGGCAGGTAAGGAAGCTATGCCCGCAGGGGGGGTACGACCGAAAACGAAGAGGGCGGGCATCGAGGGTTTAGGGTATACGTGTTGAGCATCACGCGATCCGATAACAGCGACCAGCTTTACAGTTATTATTGAGGCTTCGCGTATCCCACCAGCCCATACAGAAACGATGCCCATGAGAGTTGACGGGGGGAGAGGAAGAGCCCATCTCGAGCCGTCTTGGAGCGGTCTCGGGGTCGCTTCGAACATCTTGGGAACCATCTTGAGCCAGCCTGGGCTATCTTAGCCATTTTGGAGGTCATCTTGGGCTCTCTGGGGGGCCGCTCGGGGCCTCTTCGAGGCCTCTCGGGTGCCTCTTGGAGGCCTCTTGGGGCTTCTTGTGGCCCTCTTGGGAGTCTCTTGGGAACCCTGGAGGGCCTCTTGGGGCCATCTTGGAGGCGGCTGGTCAAAAAAGGATGGGTACTTGATGTTCGTCCACCCCTCGGGGGTCACGATCCTCGTGAGGGGTGTCAAACATTGGCCCTCCCAGGGGCTGGAAAAGGACCCTCTGACATCTCGCGGCCCCTCTAAAAAACCTTGTTGAGGGGAGGAGGAGGGCTCCCCTCCCCGAAGGGAAGAGGGGTCGTGGAAGAGGAAAGAGACGCTCCTTAGACCACCTGTCGCCCAAAGGGCTGGTGGGAATATTATTTGTATTATTATGAATATTATTCGTATTATTATTGTTGTTGTTGGTGGTGTTGCTGTTGTTGCTGCTGTTGTTGTTGCTGTTGAATGTTGTTGAATTTTCGCATCTAAGAATTATTGTTGTTGGTCCCGCTCTGGTGACCGTTGCATTTTTCAAATAGTGCTTCTCCCGGAGCTCGCACCCTGTGTTTTACAAAGGAAAGTGACGTAACACCGAACTGGGCCCCAGGCCCCCCGGTTTACAACAACTGCGGCTCCAGCGTGATATGTACTCACAATTTATTTCCAAATCGCGCTCTCTCGCGGGACCTCCTCACAATGTTGGAAGGAATCGCGCTCTCGCGTGGGACTTCCCGCAATTTATTCAGATACCGCGCCCTCGACGCTCAGGAAACACGCTCTCGCTGTGGACTTCCTCGCGATTTATTTGGGAATCGCGCTGTAACTCGAGACTTCATGCAGGACGCACGCTTCAGCAACCCGCCTGCTCGACCTGGCCACTTAGGGTCTCCTGGCCCGATCTGCCCGTCTGGTTTTGCCCCATGCCTTCTGATTCTAGCCCCCCTCCTGCTTCGCTCTCTCGTGCTCCATCCTCCTTTCTCCCCCCTTGTCCCTGCCTTCCGTCCGTCCTCTCTTCCTCTGCCTTAGGGGGCTGCACGACAAATACGTTGCAGGTAAGAAAGATACCCCCAAAGGGGTACAATCGAAGACGAAGAGGGCGTGTATCGAAGGTTTGGGATATACGTGTTGGCCCACGATCAGATAAGAGCGAGCAGTCTCAAATTGATTGTTGTTGTTGGTGTAGTTGTTGTTGTTGTGGTTGTGATTGTGGTTGTTGTCGTTGCTGTTGTTGATGCAACTGCTGCTGCTGGTGCTGTTGTGGTTGTTATTGTTGTTTTTGTGTTGTTGTGTTGTTGTGTTGTTGTCGTCGTGGTTGTTGTTGATGCTGCTGCTGCTGCTCCTGTTGTTGTTGCTGTTGTTGTTGTTGTCGGTGGTGGTATTTTTGTTGTCGTTGTTACTGTTGGTGTTATCACCATAATTGTTGTTGCACTGCCGTGCTCACGATCCTTCTACGCCTCACTTCTAATTGGTCCGTAATCTGCGCTATGTAATCCAGACATGGCACCTTCCAGGCCCGTTTCCAATCCGATCCGATCGAATTCCGACGCGCTCCTACAGATTTTGGTCTCGATCCGAGTCCCGTTCGTTTGTCCGATTTCGATTCTGGTCCGACGCGCAGGAGAATTCCGGTTCCGCCCTGGCCCGACTTCCATCGATTCCATTTCTGATTCTGGTGCTTCGAAGAAGTCGGGGGCCCCCAAACGGGGTGGTGACCACACCGTGTGGTGAGTCGCTGGGGATTCAGGGTCACCGCACGGTTTTGGGACCCGGGTCGTTCTCCGAGGACGTCTCGGGCGGCTGGGGCCTCCAGGGTCCCAAGACCGTGTGGTGACGGACCGTGCGGTGAGGTTTTGGGCGATTTCGAGGTCACCGCACGGTCGGTCACCGCTCCGTTCCAGGACTCCAAAAGAAGGCAGGTCAGAGGGCATGAAGGAAGGGAGGGGGTCCGCCGCCGCGCCGCGGGCGGCGCCTGCGTCAGCGCCCCCGACGCCCTTCGCGCCCGCTGCGGACCGGCTCCCCTGCGGGCCACGGAGGGAGGCTACTGAGGGGTGGCTATGGAGGGGGGCCACGGAGGGGCGCCATAGGGGGCCACATGCGAACCCTACCCCTACCCCCTACGATTTCTGAGGGGAGGGTGGGGTCTACTTCGTTCGGCCCCCTAGGCCACGGAGGGGGGCCACGGAGACGGGCACCCGAGGCCATACTCGGGCATCCAGCGGCCGTGCGGGACGATCCCGGCACCCCGAGAGCGCCCGGCGAGGCGCAGCTGCTGGGAAGCGTCCCGAGGCGAGGGAACCTTTCCGTCCTTCTTCTTGAACAGCCCAAGGTAGTCAGGGTCTTCGGGTCGAAAATCGCTCCCCGGACCCTCACCACCCATCCCACCACCCCAAGCCAACCCGAGGGCCTCAATTTGCTCCCCAATTTTCAATGGGGGGGTGGCGTTGGGGAGCATTAGATAAACACGTGTGGACCCCCCCTCCAACCCGAAATTCGAATCTTCGGGTTAGGTTGGGGTGGTTTGGTAGGCAGTCGGACCCGTCCTGGGGAGCGCTCGGGCCAGGACTTCGAGGGGAATCCGGCCCCAGCGACAAGTCCTCGGCCTCCGCACCCCTCGGCCGTTGACGGCAGGACCCCGAGATCTCAGTGGACTGTCTAGGGCGCCCTCACATTTCCCAACGCCTCGTTGGGCGTTGGAAACGTCACGACGAGGTCACCACGCCGTCCCCTCCTCCTCCTCCTCCTCCACCTCCTCCACCTCCTCCTCCTCCTCCTGCCCCTCACCCTGCGTTGCCTGGGGCCCCGACGGCAGGGCGCGGCAGTGGCCGCCCTCACTGCCGGGCCTCGCCTCTGGCCTTGCTGCGCCGGGCTGCCGGCCCGCCGCCGCTGCGGCGTCGGGCCCCTCGGCGCGTCCGCCCCGCGCCCGCCGCGCGGCCCTGGCCGGTTTTTCTCGGCGGCGCCCGCCGCCGCGGGGGTCGGCCACTATCAGGGGCAGCGTCGGGGGGGGGACGAGCTCGAGGTTGGAGGTTGTCGGGCGGCGTCGTCGGATGCCTCGGCGGTTTTCCGGCCCCGGGGTGCTCTCCAGCAGAGGCGCCTCGCCGAGGGCGACTTCGGGGGTGCCCGTGTTGTCCCGAGCGGCCGTCCGAGGCCCGGGCCGTGGCCCGAGAAGCGCCGGAGGCTGGGGGCAGAGGCCCAGGGGGGGGCGTCGACCCGCGATCGCCCATTGGTGGGCCCGTCTTCCACCACTACCACCATAAGTTGTAGGGGGGATGATCGAGGAGGAGGAGGATGAGGAGGAGGAGGAGGAGGAGGAGGAGGAGGAGGAGGAGGACCCCCTCCCTCTCCAACTTATGGTGGTGGTGGTGGAAAAGAAGCCCATCACCCATGGACTGCCGACAGGGGCCCGATTGCCCCTCTCCGCCCAGGAACGCGCGGTTTCCTTCACGGGTGTCGCCGATTCAGAGCCTGCTTTGTAAATCCAGGACGACGGCCATCATTTGGGAGGGGGGGCTGAGGACGTCACGCTTCGTGCTGCTGGCGTCTGTGAATACCTAAGACTGACCGAGGACGGGTAGCAGCAGCATGTAGGTGGCGATCTGCACCACACCGCCTGTGTACACCACAGTGCCTGCGTGCACCACAGCGCTTGTGAGCACCACACCGCCTATGCACACCACAGCAGTCGCGTGCAATATAACGCCATTGTGTGCCACAGTGCTTGCGTGCACCCCAGCGCTTGAGTACACCACTGCGCCTGTGTACACCACGGGGCCTAAGTGCACCACAGCAACCGTGCGCAACAGAGTACCATTGTTGTACATAGATGGAGTTCCTGTGGATTCCTGTGCATTCCACAGGAAACCATCGTATAGGATTTGGAAAGGGATCCTTATGGAAATGGGAGCGTCTCTGGAATCTACTAGTCTTCCCGCGTCTTCCCGCGTCATCCTGACTCCTCCCATCTGCGCCCAGAAGGGCTCGCTCAATTGACCGTCCGAGAACCAAGTGGATTGATTCATGAGCCCATACTGCGGTGCACACTGGGATGCGCACGTGCGCTGTAGCGCTGGCCCGCACGACGGGGGGTAGGGTGAAGGGGGAGGAGGAGGAGGAAGAGGAAAAGGAGGAGGAATAGTAATGATAATACATTACTGAAGAATGAAGGAACATGATCCGCAATAACATTAATAGAAATATGAATCATATCACTAATAATAAAGACTAGGAAGACGAACGAAACGAAGAAGACGACGAAGCATAAAACGAAAAAACATACAAATGATAACGCTCATACTATTCGTAGTACCAATACCAGTACGGATGAAGGTGAACAGGGATGCGAATGTGAATAATAAAAGTCAGATTAGTATTACCAATAGTAATAGCACTTTTTTTCAAAGGAAAAAAGGCGCATGCTACGAATAAGAACAACAATGGTAATAGTAATAATACGAATAAGCGTATTAATACGACTAACAGTAATACAAATACTAAGGACAATAATCCTATCACAAATAAAGATTCCCGGAATATTATGGAACATACTACCAAGGATAATCACATATAGTAAGACGAGGAGAAAGAGGAGGAGGGCGAGGGGGAGGAGGAGGAGGAGAAGGAGGAGAAGGAGGAGGAGGAGGGAGAGAGGAAAAACGTCGCATTTTGCTATCAGCACTTCCTCTGGCGTGGTGAGCTAATTTAGTCACCCCCATGCGCGCCTTCGCCAGGCACAGTGATATACCCACAGCTGTGTGTTGGCTGCGATTGCAAAGAGCGTCCCGCCCGCCCCGCGCGTGCCCGCCCAGCCAGTCGTGGTCGTCGTAGCTAGCTTAGCGGACATAATACACATTTCTCGCCATGGCAACAAGAAGTACATCACCAATCCACAAGATGAGCCTGATCAATATATTGTTACAGGAAGAACATGAACACTAACAACAACTAGACGAGCACGAACACAATTTGCCGATCAATTGGGTTGCGAAGGCTCCCACTCTCACAGAGAGTTGACAAACTACTGGTTATCAGCCCGAAGGTTTATCTTCGATGAAAATGGGACCACCAGATGAGGAAACTCAGCAATATATGGAATCTGCACGCCCTTGACGCCATTTTTTGGGGGGGCGCGGCGCGGCCAATGGCGGCTGCTATCCCGGACAAGAAAAGGTTTCCATCGGCGATGTATCGTCAATTTCAGTTCGATGCGCCCTCTCTGGGGCCCGTCCCCGTCGTTGGTGGTTCCCGGTGCCATAACTCTGGCTTCCAGCGGCCGTCACCCCTGGAACGCTCTCGGCGAGGCGCAGGTCTTGGAGAGCACCCGAGGCCAGAAAACCGCCGAATACCGACGAAAACGTGGGAAACCGTCGAATTTCAATTCCGAGGTTTTGAAGTATCATGTGGAACTTGCTCTAAAACAGGAAATTACCGTGCACGGATCGAATTGTCTTCGACAATGTATTGCGCCGGGCGCGACGGCCGCGTTGTGTATAGACGCATCCACCCCGAATGTGTCTATAGACGCTTGCGACACCTACAGTGTCTACAGGCGCTTGCACTTGTAGCCAGAAGGTGAGAAAAGATTTGGCATAGGCCCCGGATGCTGGTTTTTGAGGGCTGGTAGACTTCGTCCTTCAACCGAAATTCCCCCCTGTCCCCGCCGCTCGTGGTTGTTCCCCCCCCGCCGTTCCCCCACACCTCCCGGCGGCCAGCGAGCTGGTGCGGCCGCCTGGTTGCCGCGCCCGACGCCCGGGCTCGGCATGTTCCTCGGGCCGACGCCCGTGTGGGACTCTGTGGAGGGCGCTGCTCTCGAGCCGGCGGGCGGGAGTTCACGGGACAGTGACGCGCCCGAGCTGAAGGTGTCGAAGAAAAAGAGACAGCAGAAACAGAAGTGTTCGGAGGTCCGCGCGGATTTCTTGGATCGGCGTTGGGGCCTCCTGGCGGTGCCTCTGGCGCCGCCCCTGGCGCGCTCCGTGCACCACGGAAGGAGGTCTGGCACCAAGATATCCGCGCGGACCTCCGAAAGTTTATGCCTATATGCCGTTTTGTCTTCTTCTAAGGTGGGCACGTTGAACCAGGTTGTTTGGATGTGCTGGACAGGTTCCAATGCCATGCCAGTGCATCTTCAGCTGTGCCTGCGGACCATTCGGAGAAACGCCGACGTGCCAGTGATTCTGGTGACGCCGAAGAACGTGCTGCGGTACGTGCCCGATCCCCATCCTGCGTATCCGTATCTACACCTTGCCCACCGTGCGGACTACCTTCGCTGTTGTTTGCTGCACAGGTTCAAGAGAAGGAAACTATACCGATACTGCTAGCCTCGCCTCGTTATCACCACGGCTGGATTCGCCTCGATTTTTTTACAGAAGGCACCCCAGGAGAGGCCCGGGGAGTAGCGGTATCCGCATCTGTTCTATTCCCCAGGTACGGGGGTATCTACGTCGATACCGACACGATATGCTTGCGAAGCCTTCGAGGGCTTTTCGATCTGCTGGATACCTGTGACGCGGTCGGATACGACGGCTCTGCGTGGAACGAGCACATCGGTGTGTCCGCAATGGGACCATTCAAGCCGCAGTCCGACCTTACAACGCTCTGGTTCAACGCCCTTCATGGAAAGCTGGCGCAGCGGTGGGCCGATGTGCAGGCACGCCAAACCGACGTCTTCTACTGGCAGGAGATACTCCGTGACATCGTTCTCCCGGCCTCGTTGATCCACAGGGAGCGGATCAGCAGGGCGATGCAGATTCACAATCCCGAGCAGGACGCGCTGTGGAGCGAGCGGCCGTGCGCGGAACTGCTCGGGGCCGAGCTCGACAGGTGCCACCTCCTCGTCCTCAACAACGCCAAGTATGGCCAGGAGCTTGGCGAGCTCTCCGAGGCCGTCGGGCGAGAAACGTGCGCGCCGCGGCGAGGCCTCCACTCAGAGGCAACGACAGGGGCGAATAGCCCAGGGGAGAGCAATACATGTATTCAGGTGCGCCGATGATCCATGTCTTCGAAAAGGCTCCCGGGCGAATACGTGGAATGCCCGCCCCTGGGCTATTCGCCCCAATCGTCGCCGTTGATCCACGGCCCACCCGCCGGGCTGGTGGAGCGGCCGCACGCCGGAGCTGACCCTTCCCCAGAGCGACCCTTCTGGTGCGCGGCGGTCGGGGGCCGCGGGTGGGGCAGCCCCAGGCGCGCGGGCCGCTGCCGTCGCACCGCACGGGCCGATCGGCTAGCCGCGCGGCGGGATGCGTGCAGCCCGAGTGGAGGCCGGGTGGTGGTGACGGGGCCGCATCCCTCCCCCCCCCCGCCCAGGACGAGCTGCTGGGCAGCCCCGTGGTCCTGGGCCAGCTTCTCTCGGAAACCGGCGGCCCCACGCCGCCGGGCAGAACCAGAGCAGCACAGAGCTTTTCCGGGGCGCCCAAGAGTCAAGGGAGGGCAATGCTGAGAGGGGGACATGCTCAGGGGGACATGCGTCGACCCCCATCGCCTTTTCATCGCCGATGGGTGCCTAATGGCCCGCTCAGGGGCGTGCGGCTTCGCTATCGGGGACCCGTCGCCGAAACCGTCGCGATTTTTGTCGCGACGCGATCATGTCTGGGCTCGATCCCTCGAAGGCCTCCGACTCTCTCGCATGTCATCGAACGTCTCGAATCGGCGGCGAGCGATGAGGGGACGCGAGAAGGAGGAGATCCTCTCAGGAGGCGGCGGGGCTTTTCAGAAGCCCTCGCGCCTGCTGAGAAGTTTCTCGTGCCTTCGGGGAAGGCGCAGGACACTTCACAAAAGGCCAGGGGAACTGAACTTCCGAGCCTTGTGAGAAAGCCCGCCTTCCGAGCCTTGTGAGAAAGGCCTCCGGCGAACAGAACTATGCACATACACTGATTCTGGCCGGGCCCCTCCTGGGCCCAGGATCGGTGCATATGCTTTCCTGGCCAAGGCAGGAAGGGCTCAGGATGGGCCTGGCCAGAATCGGTGTATGTGCACAGTTCTCAGGAGGAGAAAAACATACAGACACAATTGATCGTCGATTTCCTAGAAAATATGGGAAAATATGGGAAGTGGGGGGGGGGGAGAAACACCCAGAAAACATGGGAAAAGATTGGGAATCGTTTTTATTTGTGTGTATCTATTTGTGTGTCCCAGGGCCCCTTGGAGTTCTCTCTCCTCTGCCCCCCTCGGCTGACCGCCGATCGAACGAGCCGACGGGCCTCCGGTCTCCGCCCCCGTCCGCCGCGCGCTGGGGCTGCTGCGCGCGGGCTCGGGCTGACCCGTGGGGCGACCGGCGGCGCGCGCGCCTCGCGGGCGCGCCACGCGCGCCACGCCGCCCCGCGCCCTCCGCGTCCCTCTCCTCTCCCGCGCCCCGCCTCCCTCCCGCGCATCCTGCTCCTCCCTCCCCCCCTCTTCCTCGTCCTCCTCCTCGTCCTCCTCCTCCTCCTCCTCCTCCTCCTCCTCCTCCTCCTCCTCCTCCTCCTCCCCCCCTCATCCTCCTTATCCTCCCCGCCTCCTCCTCCTCCTCCTCCTCCTCCTCCTCTTCCCTTCTGGATCATTGCAGTTTACGCAAGCAAGCCAAAGGTACCTCGTTCGGAGGATGCCGTGACATCTTCTTCAGTCCGTCCAGGAGCGCCCTGCAGCCAGGGCAGTCCTCCTCCTCTTCCTCCTCCTCCTCCTCGGCCTCCTTCCTCCTCCTCCTCTTCCTCCTCCCCCGTCCTCCTCCTTCCTCCTCCTCCTCCTCCTTTTCCTCCTCCTCATCATCTTCCTCCTCCTCCTCCGCTTTCTCCTCTTCCTCCTCCTCCTCCTCCTTCTCCTCCTCCTCCTCTTTCTCCTCTTTTTCCGGATTGGCAGCGACGACGACGAGGAGTACAATTAGCACACACCAGCGACTCTGTTCTTACCAACCTCCGCTTTGCCGACGACATCCTCCTGGTCAGTCAGACACTACCCCATTTGAAGACACTGCTTGGGGACTTAATCAAGGCAGCAACTCCTCACGGCCTTGAAATACACCCGACCAAAACAAAAATCATGACAAACTGGACCGGGACACGAACGCGATCGGCACGAGTTGCAACCCTGGACATCGAAGTATTCCCGCCCACCGGAAAGTTAAAATATCTTGGCCAGACTATATCATTTCAAGACGCATCGGCGACCGAGATCCAGCATCGCATACAAGCTGCATGGGCGTGCTTCACAGGGCACAGACAAGAGTTAACGAGCAAGCACTACCCACTCAAGCACAGACTACGACTGTACCGCGGCACCGTCATACCCACAATGATGTACGGCGCAGAGTCATGGACAATTACAGAACCCCTCAAACAGCAGCTGCGCCGCACGCAACGACGGATGATCAGGGCAATTATCGGGACACCGCGACGACACACGTCAGCAGTTTCACCAACGCATGCTGCCCAAGCGATAGACAAATCTGACAACGATGACCTCGACGGCAACGCCTCCGACGACCCCAGCGACCACGACGCTTCCAGCGACCCACCGACTCCATCAGACCCGCCCCAAACAAGCGACGACAGCATCGACCCACCCCACCCGACTCCGACACACCAGCAGGCGGCAGACGATGCCGAACTCTGGTCCGAATACATCCGCCGGTGCACTCGCAGGGCGGAGGAGCTGATGAGCATCTACGACATCCCAGACGTCACCCAAATGCATCGCAAAATGGTTTGGCAGTGGGCAGCACGCGTAGCGACCCACCCGTCGAATAGGTGGACACAGCGAGCTCTGAATTGGAATCCCAACACGGACACAAGGCAACATGGTTATCGACAACATGGTGGCCAGCAAGAGCGCTGGGACGACGACATTCGGAAGTTCCTACACAACGTGCATCGACAGGCAGGCGAAGATCACACACAACGCGACGCCAACGACGCCACCCAACCGCGACGATACCTCCACCGCGACACCAACGATGTGAGGTGGCTCACAGCTGCGACACGGACGACATGGTGGAAGTCACTCGAGGGAGCCTTCATCGCTGCATGATATTACGAACTGTCACATGCAGCAGTGACCGCCGACCACGCGACCACAAGCACCGAACACCAACAACCAAGCACGACCATACCGACTACCGACTCCTTGCGCCAGCATCCACACCAACCCCAGCACAGACGACCAACACAGTCTCCACCCAACGACGCGGCACCAACACACCACGACATCGACTACAAGGATTCCTCCCCCTCCTCCCCTCCCCCTCCGTTTCACATAACTTTTTGTGTCTCGCATGCATGCATTACCATACACAATCGTATTTCAGAGGCCACGGCCTCATTCACCTGGTCTCCAGTAGGCCCGGACTGCTGTCCGCATCGGTGGTCGTTCGTTCGTTCGTTCGTCCCCCCCTTCCTCCTCCTCCTCCTGCTCCTCCTCCTCCTCGTCGTCCTCCTCCTGTTTCAACCCACACTCTTCACTAGTTCCTGGGTTAAGCTGGTTTCAGAAGCCTCGGAGACGACGGCGCTATAGGAAGAGGGAATGAGGAGGAGGACAGTGTGTGGAAGAGGGAATGATGGAGGAGGAGCGCGCAGTCGTGGAAGAGGTAATGATGGAGCGAGTGGGCGTGGCGTGGAAGAGGGAATGATGGAGGAGGAGGAGGAGGAGGAGAAGGAGGAGGAGGAGGAGGAGGAGGAGGGGGAGGAGGAGGAGGAGGAGGAGGAGGAGGCGGGGAGGATAAGGAGGATGAGGGGGGGGGAGGAGGAGGAGGAGGAGGAGGAGGAGGAGGAGGAGGAGGAGGACGGGGAGGCGGAGGCGGAGGCGTAGGCGCGCGCGGCCATTTGGGTGGAGGATGAGGAGGAGGAGGAGGACGAGCAGGAGGAGGAGGAGGAGCAGGAGCAGGAGGATGAAGAGGAAGAGGAGGAGGAGGAGGAGGAGGAGGAGGAGTAGGAGGAAGAGAGGAGGAAGAGGAGGAGGAGGAGAGGAAATGGAGGAGGAGGCGGAGGAGGAAGAGGAAACATAATAATAACACGAATAATACGACTAAAAATCATAATACTAATACTAATCAGCCTACTGTGAATTAAACATAACCATAATCACAATTCTACGAGTGATAATAACAGCAATGATGATATCGCTAAAAATAATACGAATGGTACTAGCAGTACTAAGAGGAATTACTAATACGACTGAGAGAAATCATCATAACAAGCCACGAATAATAATACTAACCAGCATACTAATATGCATACTACTGGTAATACTAATAATGGTAAGACTACAACAATCACAGTAAACATGATAATAATAAGAACAAAAAGAAAATAAAGGAAGAGGAGGGATGAGGATGGGGAGGAGAAGGAGGAGGAGGAGGAGCAGGAGCAGGCGCAGTTCAAAACATCTGCATTAATACGTCGCCCGCTGGCCGAGACCTTATCTGTCCATGGTTTCTGCGTTTCTTTCTCCCCGTGTGCCAAGCTCGAATCGGCCACGCGGCCGGGACATCCCGTGGCATTCTAAACGTCCGCCCCAAGCTTGATTGTCAGTCCGTCAGTCACCAGCGGGCACGGAATTGCACTTGGCTCCGCTGGGAATGATTTCCAGCAACGACTTTGCACGTTTGCCAAATATCTGCGTATTCTCACTTGTATATATGAACTGTCTTGCCTTTCTGGCCTCGCCGTCGGTCCCCCTCGGCGTAGGGGGTGCCAGTCTCACTCGGGAGCCGGCGGCGCGAGCAAGCAGGAGCAGGAGCAGGAGCAGGAGCAGGAGCAGGAGCAGGAGCAGGAGGAGGAGCAGGAGGAGGACGAGGAGGAGGAGGAGGAGGAGGAGGAGAGGAGGAGGGGGAGGAGGAGAAAGAGGAGGAGGAGAAGGAATAACCATAATAGTAAGAAAAAGGATAAGGAGGAGGAGGATACTAATCATACTAATAATTTGAATCATAATAGTAATCGTAATAATAAGAAGACGAAAAATATGAAGAAGACGAAGAAGACGAATAGTACGAATAATATCGATAATTAACACTGTGGACAGAAATAAGCATACAATCAACAATACTAATACGAATCGTAAGAAGAAGACGAATACCAATATTAAGAACAATATCAATTATTATATTACTAAGAAAACATAGTACTAAGAAATATAATGCTAATAGTAATAAGAATCCGAATAATGATAGGAGTCATAATAATAATCTGGATAATATAAAGAAGAGGAAGATGATGAAGAGGAAAAGGAGGAGGAGGAGGAGCATCAGGAGCAGGAGGAGCAGGAGGACGAGGAAGATGCGAGGCGAGGCGAGGCAAGGCGAAGAAGTTGAGGGAGCCAGGGCCCCGAAGAGGAAGTTCATCGCCAGGCGCCCCAGGACCATCACACAATTTCGATCGGAACCGCCCTGGCATACTTGTATTGCGCGTGCGTCGGCCTCACGGCGCCGACGCGGACGATGAAACATCTTATGGTGCACGTTCCGTGGTGGGTTCTCAGCCATGCCGCGTGCATCGCAGTATATTGCGAGGTTGTTGTGCAGCGTGCGCTGGTCGGGCGCGCGCCCGGAGGGCACATGTGCTACTCTGTCCCTCCGCAGGCAGCGAAAGGCGCAGGGTGGCGGGAGCGCAGGGCGAAACGCGAGCGGCGGAGGGCAGGCGCGCGGCGGAGTGGCCGGTGCGAACTGCGGGGCGGAGGAGCGGTGCAGCGGCGGCTGAGCGGCGGTGCGGCGGAGAGGCGTGCGAGCGGAGTGCGCGCGGAGCGCGGCGGCGGCGTGTCGGAGCAAAGCGGGGCGCGGAGCGGAGCGGAGGGTCGGCCGCCGCTCTCGCAGCCTCTCGGTTGCGCCGCCCGGCCGCCCGCGCGCCCTTTTGGCCGCGGCTGGGCGCCATGGGCTCCACGGACTTCGTCGTCGTCATCATCATCGGAGGATGAGGAGGAGGAGGAGGAGCAGGAGGAGGAGGAGGAGGAAGAGGATGGAGGAGGAGGAGGAAGAGGGAGAGGGGTTGGAGGAGGAGGGGGAGGAGGAGCAGGAGGAGTACGAGGATGAGGAGGACGAGGACGAGAGTAAACCCAAGCTGCATCGACGATGCCGCAATACACCCTTTTGTATCCTTTTGTGTCAAATCCCCTCCCCACAGGTCCCTACAAGCCTTCCTTTTCACAAGAAGAAGCGCCCCCTCGGCAGTTCAGCATCCATGGGCCTGCCATTCAGGCGAGAGCGAGAGCACCGTTTCGACAAGAATTTGCTTTGCATTCGCTAAGGGCATCGAACTCCATGCGGCAAGTCCAGCCACCGTGCCAGCCCAGCTTTCTGGGTTGTGGCTGTTCGAGGGTGGGAGAGCCGTGATAATGATGATGATGATGATGATGATGATGATGATGATGATGATGATGATGATGATGATGATGATGATGGTGATGATGGTGATGATGATGATGATGGCATGATGATGGTGATGGTGGTGGTGGTGATGAGGATGACGATGCTGATGATGATGCTGCTGATGATGATTACGATGACGACGATGATGCTGCTGATGATGATGGTGATGGTGATGGTGATGATGATGGTTATGATGATGATGTAAATGCTGATGATGATGATGACGATGCTGATGATGATGACGACGACAATGATGATGCTGTTGCTGCTGATGATGATGCTGATGACAATACTGATTGTTGCTAATGTGACTGGCAATGCGAGTTTCAATGTCAATGCTGTTTTGAAATTTGATGCCCATGCTGATGCTGCTATTGATGATGCTGATATTCATGGTGATTATGATGATGAGGACGATGATGAGGATGCTACTGCTGATGCTGATGCGGTCACTGCTGATGGTGCTCGTGGTGGTGGGAATGATGATGGTGACGACGACGATGGCTGTGGCGGTGATGATGATGCAGATGACAGTGACACTGATTATGATGATGATGGTGTAGATGCTGATGCTGATGGTAATGATGATTATGATTATGATTATGATTGTGATTCTGATTATGATTATGAACATGATGATGGTATGATGGTGATGATGGTGATGGTGATAGTGATGGTGATGATGGCGGTGATGATGGTGACGACGACGACGATGATGATGATGATGATGATGATGATGATGATGATGATGATGATGATGGCGATGATGATCACGATGATGATGATACTGATGATGACGAGTATGATGACGATGCTGATGCTTGTGATAAAGATGCTGATGCTGATGATGATGATGATGCTGATGCTGATGCTGATGATGATGATGATGAGGAGGAGGAGGAGGAGGACGAGGAGGAGGAGGAGGAGGAGAAGGAGGAGGAGGAAATGGATGATCATGATGATGATGATGATGATGATGATGATGATGATGATGATGATGATGATGATGATGATGATGATGATGATGATGATGATGAGGAGGAGGTGAGGAGGAGGAGGAGGAGGAGGAGGAGGAGGAGGAGGAGGAGGATTAGGAGGAGGACGAGGACGATGAGGCAGAGGAGGAGGAGGAGGAGGAGGAGGAGGAGGAGGAGGAACACCGTCACATGTGACACCTTTCGTCTTCAATCTATGAGGACCTTTCATGGAACTCGTTTTTGCCGTCTTGGAGCTGTCTTGGCCTCCTGTGAGGTAGTCTTGGGCCGTCTTGGGGTCCCCACACGCCGTCTTGGGGCTCTCTTGGGCTGTCTTGGGGCCCTGTTTGCCGTATGAAGGTGTCTGGGGCCGTCGTAGGTCTTTCTTGGGCTGTCGAAGGGCCCACTAAGGCCGTCTTGGGTCCCACATGGGGCCCTCTTGGGCCGACTTGGGACCGTCTCGGATGCCTGTTGGGGAGGGGAGGGGAGGGGAGGGAAGGGGAGGGAGAGGGGTAGGGTGGAGGAGGTGGAGGACCCCCCCCTTCGAGGAGGAGGAGGCCGGCGCGGACGCCGCCGCGGCCGCCCGGGCCGTGGACGTGGCGGGCCCGCACGCCGAGCTGGAGTTCCGGGGGGCGCTATGGTCCACCGGCATGGTGCAGGTCCCCTCACCCGGGCCCAGATCCTCTGGGCCTCCCAGATGGTCGCTGAGCGCGTTCCACTACTCGCAAAGTGGCTATTCGCAAACGTCCCCAAAAAGCAAACGTCTGCCTCGATGCAATGGATCGCAGATCCTCCTCGGCGGATCCAGGCCATTTGCGAGCAGTTACTTTGCGAGTAGTGGAACGCGCTTGTCTACAGATGGGGTCGGAGTAGATGGGGTCGGAGGATCGCGCCGCATCGCCGATTCATCGCCCCGATGCATCGGCGATGCAGCTCGACGCGTAGCCCGATTTTCTTCACGCCGACGTCGCAGGTGCATCGCCGACTTGGCTGGTGCATCGCCGATGCATCGCCGATGTACCGCCGATGCATCGGCGATGCGGCGCGATCCTCAGACCCCATCTACTCGGACACCATCTACGGGGCCTCTAGATATCCGACGATACGTCTTTTTCAGTCTAAGCGTTTTCCCGTCCCTGAGGTCTGGGCGTTGCTATTTTTTTTCGCTCTGGACGTGTTCTCCCAGTTTCGTCCCCTGGGAACATCACAGATCGGTCTGGCTCGAGAAACGACGCAGAAAGATGGGGCTTAGGGCTCCTGTAACAATTTTTGCCGCGATGGTATAAGTTTTTCGCAACGCCAGATCTCAGGGTTCATCTCGGCCTCTGGGAGCCGTGTCAACGGTCCCGGGACCAAAAATGGATCCAGCACGAGACCTTGCCCCGAAGGAAGTGGAGTGGTTGGTTCATCCTTGGGGTGGCGGACTGCAAAAATCTCATCGGCAGATATCAGGTGGGGAGTGCTCACGAGGCGGAGGAGGCTCGAGGAGGCTCGATGATGATTATGACTAGGAGGGGGAGGAAGAGGAGGAGGAGGAGGAGGAGGAGGAGGAGGAGGAGGAGGAGGAAGGCTCCAGGAGAATGCCTGTGAGTTGTTTCTCCGACGCGCTTTGCCAAAAACATCAATGACCCCTCGCAGCCTGACGCTATCATGGCTTCCCATGCGGACCATCCCGTCTGCTCTTGTTTCATGTTCGGCTGGTTCTTATTTGTACCATCCAGCCATTTGCTGTCCTGATTCAGGCTTCTCTCTTTTGTCCATGTGTCCACCTTCCTCAGGGTTCTTCGCAGTTGCTTCGCAGTTGCGATGTGTGTTCCATCCCACAAAATCAATGCTTCGTGGTCTCAGCGACATCGTAGGTACCAGTTTGTTTCGTGCTTCGCTCGGTGCTGTCGTCCTGTGATGCGTGCGGGTAGGAGGACGAGGCAGAGGAGGGGCCGCAGCAGGAAAAGGACGAGGATGATGACGGTGGAGGGTGAGGCGGCCGTGGAGGTGGCAGCGGAGGTGGAGGAACGGCCATGTTGCACATACAACAACCCCGAACGAGAACACGACACAAACCGGCGCCGTGGACGACGTCGTTGAGACCACGAAGCATTGTTTTATGTTGGACGGAATGCTCATCGCAACTGCGCAACAACAACGTATGGTGGACTATCACTTTCAAACAACTCTTGTCCAAAAGCACAAGGATGGTTGAAATGTGTCGCCTGCGACTAGCCATGTCGTCTCATGTTCCTCGACATGCGAGACAGACCTACCCGCGCATTTATCTCATCGCGGCCATTTGAGCTCACAAAACACTGGCTTTGTACCCTCAAAGTGGTGGCCCTGACACAGAGCGTGCAATAATCAAAACCGTACACCTCTTCCTCCCCGTCCAAGTGCAGAAGAGCGCGCGCACGTGTGGCCCCAGTACGCGGGGGAGGAGGAGGAGAAGGAGGAGGAGGAGGAGGAGGAGGAGGAGGACGAGGAGGAGGAGGAGGAACACGAGGAGGAGCAGGATAAGGAGGGGGAGGAGGAGCAGGAGCAGGAGGAGGAGAAAGAGAAGGAGCAGGAGGAGGAGGAGGAGGTCCCGAGCGATGGAAGGCGCGGCCGATCTCTCGAGCTCGCCTCAGCAGAGGGGAAGAACAGAAGCTGTGCTGAGATGGAGAGAGTGCCTCCGCTCACAGCCCTTGCCCAGCTTGGTGCCCCCAGCGGGGCCCGAAGAGGGGGTGGGGGAACCACGTCGGGCGCATCACTCGGGGGGAAGTGGGGCCCCCGAGCGGGGATGAAGGCCTCTCACCACTCTGCTGATCTGGGCCTCCTCATCATAACGAGCGGAAGCGTTCACCGAATGCCCTCCGCATCTCTTAGACGTGAGCTTCGGGCTCTTGCCGGCACGAATCACATACGCACCGCATGCAAGACATATCAGGGCCGAGCCGAGACGCTCGGCCTGGTGACCCAAGGAGAGGACGAGACCCAACGCCCCGTCAGCAGCATCAGCAGCAGCAGCAGCAACGCGACGCAGCTGGACGCGCGCAGCTGGACGCGGCGCTTCTGCGCGGCGTCGCCGCGCAGCTGCTGGCCGCTCGGTGCGGCGTGCCGGGACGCGCGCGGCGGCGGGCGCCGCCAGCGGACGGGCGCTGGCTGGAGGCGCAGGAGAGCTGAGCGAGGTGCAGGACTGAGCGGCGGCAGACCGAGGCGATTGCGAATCCCGGCCTGGGAGCAGCGGACTTGACCGCGAGCGGTGCCATAGCAGCAGCAGCACCAGCAGCAGCAGCAGCAGCAGCAGCAGCAGCAGCAGCAGCAGCAGCAGGGGCAGCCTCCGTCTCCTCCGCGTGCGCCGGGGCCGCGCCGGCGGCTCGTCGCCACGCTGCTCGAGATCCGCCGCGCCCGTCAAGGGCGGCCGCCACGGCTGGCAGTGCTGCCGAGGCCCAAGTCTCGGGCGAGAGTCGGAAGGAACGGCGCGCCGTCGCCTGCATCGGAGGCGTCGAAGGAGGAGGAGCAGGAGGAGGAAGGGGGAGGAGGGGGGAGGGGGGCGCTCGAGGAGGGGGAGGAGGAGGCCATGAAAGATCGCTATCTTTGTTCGCTGTCGGCGTGGGTTCTGTGGTCTCGAGTTCCGCGGGGCCTGCGCGGGGTGCTCGCAGCCCCTCGCAGACGGAAGCTCGAGGAGGCTCGAGGAGGTGGTTCGGGGAACGGGAGGAGGGGTGGAAGGCGGAGGATGAGGAGGGGCCGAGGTCCGCCCCCGGGGGTGCCCTGCGCCGATGCTTTGATTTTAGCATCGTTCTACAGTCCACCAGTTGAATCACCGCTCCCACGGACGAGCGCCTGTTTGGGGCGTGCACGTGTCTACGTTTGGATCGAACCCCAGAGCCGGCAGCGTCAGCGTCACACGGATGGGGCGGACAAAGGGGCTGAGGAGTTGGATGATGACGATGGCGCCGACAATGATGCTGATGCTGCTGATGGTAATGGGGATGGTGATGATGATGATGATGTTGTTGGTAATGCTGATGGCGATGCTGATGGTGGTGATGATGATGATGGTGATGACGACGATGCTAACGACGATGACGATGTCGACGATGATGGCGAAGTTGATGATGATGACGGTGCGGTCCATGATGATGATGACGATGATGATGTTGTTGTTGATGATCATGATGACAATGCTACTGATGGTGGTGATAACGATGACGATGACTATGACGATTACATTGATGATGGTGATGCTGTTGATGACGCGGATGACGATGCTGATGGTGATACTGGTGATGATGGTGCTGGTGATGATGATGGTGATAATGATGATGAGGATGGTGACGCTGCTGACGTTGAAGATGATCATGATGCGGATGATAATGCTGGTTTTGAGGATGGTTAGGATGATGATGAAGTTTATTATGATAATGGTGATCATGTTGATGATATCGATGTTGGTGCTGGTACTGATGCTGGTGATGATATGCTGATGACGATGATGGTGGTGATGGTGATGGCGGTGAGGAGGAAGAGGAGGATGAGGAGTAGGAGTAAGAGGAGGAGGAAGGAGGAGGAGGAGGAGGAGGAGGAGGAGGGAGAGGAGAGGAGGAAGAGGAGGAGGAGGAGGAGGAGGAAGGAGGAGGAGGAGAGGAGGAGAGGAGCAGGAGGAGCAGGAGGAGCAGGAGGAGGGGAGGAGCAGGACGAACAGGAGGAGGAGGAGGAGGAGGAGGAGCAGGAGGAACAGGAGGAAAAGGAGGAGGTGGAGGAGGAGGAGGGAAGAGGAGGAGGAGGAGGGAGGAGGAGGAGGAGGGAGGGGGAGGGAGGGAGGGAGGGAGGGCGGGAGGGAGGGCGGGGAGGAAGGGAGGGAGGTAATGGGGAGGGTGTGATGGAGGGACGGAGGTAGGGCGGGGAGGGAGGGAGGGGACGTTTCGCGATCGGTTTGCGAATTTCATTGCTGCGCAGGGTGTTCGTGATAAGTCGGCCGCGCGTGCTTGCAATTATTGACGCTTCGCGCAACCCCGCCAGCCTGCACCTCGACGAGTGGTTCTTCCTGGTCCCCCGCGTCACTTGAGCCGCAGCGTAGCTCGCTCCTGCGTGCTACCGTGCGGCATTTAGGCCGTTGCCTGTTAGCCGCGTCTCTTGACGGCGCCTGGCATCCCTGCGCGCTCGCGAACAAAAAAGTACCCCCACCAGCTCACCCAGAGACGATGCCCAGAGGATTTGCCTCGATCAGGGAAGTGGGCAGCACGCAAAGGGAGGGTCCCTCTAGGGACACTGTTGGCGGTCCTGGGCGCCTTTTAGAGCGTCTTGGGTGCCTCGGGGGGGCCTCTTGGGGCCTTTTGGGGGTCTCTTCGGAATCTCTCTCTTGGCTCTTGGGGGGTTTCTAGGGGCCTCCTTGGCGCCTGTTGGGGCCTTCCGGGGCTCTCTTGGGAGCCTTGGGGGCCCTTTTGGACCCGTCGGAGATCGATCAAACAATGGTGGACATGTTCTTAGCCCTGCTTTTCTAGAGCGCCGAGATGTTCGACCCGTTTTGGAACGCTCTTGGGCGCTCTCGGGGCCGTCTTGGGGTTCTCCTGGGCCTCTTGATGGTAGACCGAGCGGAGGAACGCAAGGAACGGAAACGAGCGTGCGCCCGCGGCCGCGTCGGCTCAAGCGGCCGGCCGCCCAAATATGACTGTGCATCATCGGGAGA